GTCTGGGAGCAGTTATTGGGTCTGGGGGCAGTTATTGAGTCTGGGGGCAGTTATTGGGTCTGGGGGCAGTTATTGGGTCTGGGGGCAGTTATTGGGTCTGGGGGCAGTTATTGAGTCTGGGGGCAGTTATTGGGTCTGGGGGCAGTTATTGGGTCTGGGGGCAGTTATTGGGTCTGGGGGCAGTTATTGGGTCTGGGGGCAGCCATCAGGAGCGTTACGGTGCATGCAGCGGTATTAAAAGCGTTACGGCAGTGTGGCACTATTAGGATAATTACGGTACTGAGAGTGCACCGCAATTAGAATAATTACGGTACCAGTGTGCTGCACTATTAAGATAATTACAGTACTGGGTGTGCGCCACAATTAGGATAATTACCGTGCTGGGAGTACACCGCAATTAGGATAATTACGGTACGGAAGTGCAGCACTATTATGATAATTACTGTACTAGGGATGCACTGCAATTAGGATAATTACAGCACTAGTGCAGCATTATTAGGATAATTATGGTGCTGGGAGTGCACGGCAATTAGGATAATTACAACACCGATAGCAGCACCATTAGGATAATTACGGTACAGAAGCGCATCATTATCAGGACAATTACGGTACTAGAAGTGCACTGCAATTAGGATAATTACGGTACTAATATACGGCACTATCAGGATAATTATGGTACCAGTGGGGCACTATTAGGATAATTACGGTACCAGCGTGCAGCATTATTAGGATCATTACGGTACTGGGAGCGCACCGCAATTAGGTTAATTACGGTACCTAAATGCAGCACTATTAGGATAATTACTGTACCAGGGTGCACTGCAATTAGGATAATTACAGCACTAGTGCAGCATTATTACAATAATTATGGTACTGAGAGTGCACCGCAATTAGGCTAGTTACGGTACTGGGAGTGCACTGCCATTAGGATAATTACGGTGCTGGGAGTGCTCTCCAATTAGGATAATTACGGCACTAGTGCAGCATTATTACAATAATTACGGTACTGAGAGTGCACCGCAATTAGGCTAATTACGGTACTGGGAGTGCACTGCCATTAGGATAATTACGGTGCTGGGAGTGCTCTCCAATTAGGATAATTACGGTACCAGTGTGCAGCATTATTAGGATAATTACGGTGCTGGGAGTGCCCCGCAATTAGGATAATTACGGTATTGGGGGGAGGAGCAGCTCTCGGGGGCCTCAGGACCCCCCGTTAATCCTGGCCCCGATTTTAGGAGAATTTCGGTGGGATTTGGGGTCCCCGAAGCCCTGGAGCGGCTGCTGGGATCATTCCGGTGCCTGCACCCCAATTAGTGCCCCTACGTTAATGGCGTTAATTAACGGCCGGCCTCAAGAGCTGCTCCGGTGCTGGGAGTGCTCTCGGAAAGGGGCGGGGCTAAGGGAAAGGGGCGGGGCCAGGGGCTGTCACTCACCCCGCGGGGGCCGGGGGGCTTCGGGGGTCGCCCCGGCTTCTTCTTCTCCTTGCCCTGGGGCTGCGGCTTCTGGGGGGAGGGGAGGTCACTGGGGGTGTCCAGGTGTGTCCCAGGTGTGTCCCAGGTGTGTCCCAGGTGTGTCCCCAGGTGTGTCCCCAGGTGTGTCCCCAGGTGTGTCCCCAGGTGTGTCCCAGGTGTGTCCC